GCTACCCAGTCTGACAAGCCACAACCTTCTTAATTAGACCATTACCTACTTCCGCTCTTGTATAGGTTCAAAACAACCCTGGTACTCGCATTTAGACCATCTCCTTACCTGGATTCTTTATCGGTCCCTCCCTTACTTCCAGCCGGCAACCCGGAAGGGTTGGTCTGCTCAAGCTTTAGATGCCTAAAGGACACCCTCCCCTTGGTACATACTTTCGGAGCATATGTTATTTTTTTCTGATGTGACAGACCCGGCAGTTCGGCTGGTGTGTTCTCTGCTATTAGGACCTGGTTGCTCGGTTCTCCGATCTCAGGCCCCGGTTTGAATTCAGCCCTCTTGTGATACCATCATAAATCACTGCTACTCCTAACTTGGAACTTCCCAAATGGGTTTTCGGTTATGCTAGTTCCTCAGATTTATTGCGCTATTGCTCTCATTACTAGATGATGTGACCGAAGTTACAGATTAGATCCAACTGATAAGCATAGTCGTCAACCGAAACACAAGCCTATTTTTTTCAAAATTCATTGTCTGTAGGATTTGAACTCTAGATCTGCCACTTGGAAAGGGTAACGACTAGACCACTACACTAAGTCGCCACATTTCTATATGTTTAATGAATTTCTATGCAAAATTTCTTTTTTTAGTAATATATAAGTTGCATCAGAGTTCTTTAGGGTCTTGTCTCAACCTATTACTTAATTCTATATATTAAATCAAAAAATATAATTACTTAATAATTATATAGACTGTTATCAATAAAAATAAAGCAAATTAATATTTTAAAAAAAATAAATATTTGAACTTTTATAGCTTATAGCTCAATAAATTTTGATATTATATTGATAATTTTATATTTAAAGAAAGCTTAAATTATAAGCTTTTTTTTGACTATTAAATTATTAAAATAGCTTCAAAATTCATTAAAATATAGGTTATAAAAATTAAACAAAAATTATATATCACACTTGTGGTGTTTAACATTACAATAATTTTTGTTTATAAGCTGCAGTATAATGTATAAATCAAAATAATTTTTATCAAAACAAAAATTAAATTTTGATTAAGATTAGAGTTAGGTTAAAAGCTGAATAGAGTGAAAACTTAGTTTATATTAAAATTTTATAAGGAATTTTTTTTGTTAGAAATCAAAAGGTGGTTCTATAGATAAAATTTTAAGCTATATCTATTTTTTGTAAAAAGACAAAATTCTACATTATACCTGATCTTTATATTACACTGCAGCTTATAATAAAAATTATTGTGGTGTTGAACACCAGTTGTGTGATTTAACAATGCCAAAATTAAAATATTAATTTTTTTTAAAATGTCAATTTACCTTATTTCTATTAATAGCAGCCTATATATAAAAAACAAAAATTAAGAATATAACAAAGTAGTATAGTAATTAAGTTAGCAAACTATTATTACATATAGGCTAATTTATAGAATTGCTAATAACTTTTAATATACTAATCCATTTTGAATAATTTTATTACCAAAATATTGGTCTTGATAAGATAGTTACAGTCAAACCTCTATAAATGCAATCTTCATAAATACAATACCTCTCTAAATGCACATTTCTGGTCTGACTATAAGAAATTATTAGTGCTAAATGTACGTTCTATATTCTGCAAATGCACGTTCACTCAAAAGATTTTTTATATTATACTAACTTCCCTAAATGCATATAGCCAATCAGAATTCAGTATTCAAGTTGTATTATACAAGCCTGCAGATCGAATATTAAAAGCTGCAATTTGATTGGCTTTCTCTAAATGCAAACCTCTCTAAATATATAATTAAAGCTAGTTTGTACACATTGTATTTATAAAGGTTTGACTGTATTCCTTAAATTGTTTTGTAGCCAAATTTGCCTGCAAACTTTTTTAAAATTTAAATTTTTTTAATAAAATTTTAAGGAATTATATATATGTACCCAAAGGTACATGTACCCGTATCATGTGATCTATAGATCGCCACTAAAATTCAAGATCAGGTATAACATTACATGATCAGGAAAATTCAAAACAAACGTTTATTTTGACAAAAATCACTCATTACGCAAGAAATTGCATACTAAACCACCTTTTGTGTATTAATAAAAAGTTTTTCTTGAGTGATTTTACTATATAATAGTCTAAATCCTAACCTTAACATAGTTATTACACTAACCCTAACCTAAACAATACTGGTATTACCGATTTTTTATATAATAAAAATAATGGGTACAAAAAAATTTAATGTACCCTACGGGTATAACTACATTAATTCTAAAAAAAAATAAAAAAAATAAAAAAAATTTAAACAGTGCATATTACACCTAATTTTAAATTTGATTAGCTTTATTAGATGCAGTTAGTTACAAATTTATTAATCCAAAAATAAATATTAATAAAAAAATAAAAATAAAAAAACAAAAAAACAAATAAATTTATTTACTCTAAAATCCCAAAAGCCATTTTCTTGAAAGGACATAATACTGACTAAATTGGCTAGTATTATAACTAATGCTGGCTAACTTTGTTGGTATTATAACTTTTTTATGAATTTGTCTTTTGGGAATTTAGAGTAGAATCACATTTTTCATATAAAATTTTTAATTTTAGATAAATATATTAAATTTAAAAATTTTTTTTAATTCGCATCTAAGTCCTTTAGCCAGATATTTTTAGACATCTTAGAGATATTTTTATTAAGATCATGTATTATTACAGTGAATTCAAGTTATACATATAACTAATGCTGGCTAACTTTGTTGGTATTATGTCTTTTTTATGAATTTGTCTTTTTGGAATTCAGAGTAGAACCACATTTTTCATATAAAATTTTTAATTTTAGATTAATATATTAAATTTAAAGTTTTTTTTTTAATTCACATCTAAACGACTCTAATCTCTTTGACCAGGTATTCTTAGACACCTTAGGGATATTTTTATTAAGATCATGTATTATTGTAGTGAATTCAAGTTATACATTAAGCACTGCATACATCACCACCCATTGTGGTGTTTCCCAGCCCTTTATGCCAGATATTTGGTAAGTCTACCTATAGTATTCCAGGTTCCTGATTTCATGTAAAACTTCTGACTTGAGATCTGCAGTTTCCCCGCCCAATATGACCTTATCATTCACCTTTTTCCTATTACAGCTAATGTATTCTCCAATTTTATAATTAACTTTGTATTACCCTTTATTTATTACCCAATTACCTACATTTCCAGTTTGTCTTTGTTTTCTAGTTCAGGTTGCCAACCTACTTCTATAGCTAATTTCAGTTCCCGCACCTACTTCTGTATACTTTCATATTCACTAGTGTTTTCTTTTATGGCCACACCACTTGAAACTACTAAGGTCTGTCTGAATGTTAGATGCCTTCTGCAGGAAATCTAGACTCTTCTTTACTTCCTTATATTAGTACTATACATCTTAATCCCTATTATAGTTTTTTCCAAAGTGGGGTTCCTCATGTTAATGACTTTCCTTATATTGAATTTTTCTTCTTTTCTGGATGTTGTGTGACCCTTCTGTGGCTATGTCCACAACTTGTTCCAACCATGATCCTGGCAAAAATGATTTCCCCAGTGGGTTTTAAACTGGTAACCTTACAATTAAGACCTGGGAGCACTAACCACTGTGCTAATGACCCACAGATCTAAAGTATTTTTTTATATAAAAAATAAATCAAAAACTATTAAAGTTGTCTATAAAGAATAGTTAGAGTTATGGTTAGAGTTAGAGTTAGTATTAGGGTTGTATTAGCATTAGATAACAGGAACAGAGCTGGAGACATTAGTCATAGCAAGCAACTACAGAGTGAGTGAAGTGAGCTCTATTGGTATTACTGAGCGTAAGCAAAAAATACAAGCTATATGGTCTATAATAAAGTTGTTTATAGAGAATGTTTAGTGGCACGTTGCTGATAAAAATAATTAAAAGCTATTAGAATTGTTTATAGCTAATAAATATCAATTATAATTAAAATAATATAAAAAAATAATTAATAACGTTAAAGCTCAGAGCAATGCACTGGGTCCAAAACATATACCGGTATATTAGTTTTAAATACTAGTATACTAAAACATTAAACAAAGCATTAAATGCAAAATACAAAACAACAATAATTCATCCAAATCATCTAAATTCAACTAAGAATAACTATACTAGATTATTCTACTATCTGTCGTACAGAGTGAAAACCAGACAATTCTATCTGGAAAAACTTCTTAACTCTCAAATTTTTTATCATTCTTTTATACTGGAGCTTAAAAAAAAATCATTTTGAAAGTTTGGTCCGCGTGTTATGCAAAACGAAAAATTAATTTTGTGAGGTCAAAACTAAAATACCAATTGAATTATTGCTTTAAAATATTAGAAAATATAAACTTTCTTTTTATAAAAATAATATACAGCACTAAATGCCAAGACATTAAATCACAAACATGTTATTTTGCGTATCTATAGTACATTTTACAATTTATGGAATAGAAATAGAAAGATTTAGATGAAATAAGAACCACTATGCTAATTTAACTAATTAATCAACTAAACATAGTAATTAATTATACAGTAAAATCTCTATAAATTCTTTATATAAGTGCGCACACTTTCTAAATACACAAATTCTAGTCCAAATATATAATCTTACAAATGCACATTTTCTTATTGTTCTCTAAATGCACATTGTTAAAGTTAGGTTCAAGAGTAAGAAAACTTAAAGGGTTACTAATTTCCTGACGTCACATGGGGATAATTTATCAATAAGATATAACTACAACTATTAAAAATGCTAATATTAACTCTATGTGACGCCAAATAAATGGCCTAGCGGGGAGATAACCATAGAGAACTGAGCAATAGCCTAAAAGTACAAAAGATATAAGTTACATGCGTGATTTAATGTCTTATTCAGAAAAAAAAAAAAGGAATAAAGAAATAGTAAAAGTGATAAGATAATTGAACAAATTCCAAAATTATAAACAAATGGTTCTCAGAGACTATTGCGATTGTATTGTCTCTCCCCACTTTTTTCCTGATATAATCTCTTCTTTATGAATTGAATCATAAACGTATTCAATTGTAGGCCTATTATTAGGGTCATCATCCATGCATTTCGTATAAAGATCAACATATGATTGAGTAGAATCTGCCATCGGATTTTCCCGTATGCCATTAATTTTCTTGACTAATTCTATCACAGGGATATTTTCATCTGCTAGCAATTTATCATTTGAAATTGCATACATTGTCATACCAAGGCTATATATATCAGATGGGTAGTTATACTTTTCTCCATAAGTTGCAGTTAATGCGTTTAATATAAAAGGATCCATAAATGTGATACATCCTTTGATTGCCTGACTCGATACGCTTTGACGTGTAATGACTTTGGAAACTCCAAAGTCGGTAATAAGAACTTTAATGTCAAATTTACTGTTTTTGTCGCTTTTAATAACTACGTTTCCAATATGCTAATATAGATTTTTTATTATTTATTAGCTTTGATATACAGTAATTAACCACTGATAAATAGAAAACTCACCAAGTCACGGTGTAAAATTTCATTTTTGTGTAGAAAATATAATCCACAAGTGACCTGCCGTACAATATTAATCCTTCGTTCCCAATCCAAAGTCTTATTAAGCATCAAATAATCACGTAGATTACCGAGATCTGCATATTCTAATACGAGGAAGAAATTCCCTTTATTTATTGATACACCTAAAAACTCAATCACATTATTGCGACCTATTTCACTTGTCAAAGAATCTTTAATGGAATGAAAGGCTTTAAGCTGTTTAAGTAAAGTATAGTTTTCAACTATTCAGAAATTAGATTTGCGCATAAAAAGTTACAACACAATTTTACCTCTTTAGCGAGCTCTTGATTTTCCGATTTTGCCAATGCACTCTCATAAGGTACAATTTGTTTTAAGATAATTTCCTTATTCCTCTTCTTCCACTGGGCTCTTGTAACAACCCCAGAACCTCCATACCTAACATGCACCGGGTCTCCAAACTCTGAATGATCGATAGAACAAATCTGCTCATCTTCTATCATCCTCTTAATCCATTCAATATTGGTTTCCCCATTATTTCTTTTAGCGGATAAAAGGTCATTACTTGACATGTTGAATACAAGAATTAGCGATAAGTATTCATTTAATATAACGAGAAGTAATTCTTTAAAGAATTTCAGATGCCTTCTTATAAAAGGCCAATTTACTGTTGTGCTAACGCTAATTTTGAAGTGTGTATGGTTTTATCTGCATTTAACGTAATGAATCTACTAACTTTATTGCAATTCACTTCTAAATTAGCTATGCGTCTACCATTTTTTATTCAACCGGACTTTAAGTTCCTTTATATGCCAGGTTTGTAAATTTGGTTTCAAAAGTTTTAAAATGGTATGTTCGTACATGCAATATTAATATACTATATTTAGTTGTTTCTTTTTACAATGGACCTTTTTTTTAAAAGCCTAACTACTACTATAGAAACCATTAGTTTATTATAGTCCTATATAAAAATCGAATACATAATTTTGTGTAACGATCACGATGATCTATAGCAAAATACCAGAATTTCAAGCAAAATTATTAATATTGTACAATTTATATAATAATAAAATCTCTCTTTTAGTTTAAAATTTAGGTCTTATTATGTAAGTTATGGAGGAGGTACAATTTGAAGTTTGATAATTTTTTATAATCGTTTCATATAAGATTTTTAAACTTTAAATTGTATCTCTGCAAATTAATTGAAAATTTTGCTCGATTGTTCAGTAGATCCTATATTTTAAACTAAAAGAGAGTTTCTTTAAAAAAAATTAAATTTCTATTTGCCATCGGCGGTGACAGTACCCTTTAAAGTTATATTTAGGATTAAAAAGGTCATAGTATATAATGAAAATTATCAATGAATATTTTTTGTTAAGACGCAGAAGTTGATTTCATAAGATATAATAATTTTGAATTATTTTGAATTTAAATTTTGTGATTTTTGTAACTGCCGGCGTCAAATAGATTCACCCATATTTTTATTAACGATGATCAAATAGTTTAAAGCATTTTACTATATAAGCATGATCGTTACACGAAATTGTCTATTGCAAAAAAAAAAAAAATATCAATCGCTTGATAGAAATAGTACTGTATTTCATCGAAATAAAGCAGAATTACGTACTTAATGACAACTTTTTTCTGACAAACCAAATATTTTAATTTATTAATGTATTATCCACAAAATATATAAAACAAAAATTAATGCTATAGTAATGCATTTAATGTTTGAATGACGCTAAAGGTAAACCGATTTCTATCATATAAAATTTATATGAATGAAGTCAAATTTTCCTTGGCGTTACTCATTTAATGTCTACATAATGCGAAAATATAGAAGTTTTTAGCTTTTCATTTGCAACGTCTAACACACTATGATTGTCTTAAGTACATACGTATGCACAGAGTTTTTAGGTTTTCATTTGCAACATCCGACACACAATGGTTGTCTTTAAGTACATACAAACTGTACGTATGCGCTAAGGATGTAGCTATCATTTATAATAATTATTTAGTTTATCCTCAATGCAGAAAAACATTTCTTTAGCGAATACAGTCATACCTCTTTATAATCACCCCTATATAATCACATCATATAAAAACCTTTTAATAATCACACCTATATCTTCGCCCAATTACTATCTAATATATAACAAAAGACCTCTATATAAGCACACCTCTTTATAAGAACATTTTTTTTATAAAAGTTCCTATGGTCCCAAAAGTGTGATTATAGAGGTACGACTGTATTAAGGCATTTAGGTACTTTACAGTTACACAGTATGCTACACAAGTTAACGAGATAGTTTATATTCTTTATTCCATGGTTCTTATTTAGACTTTCATATTTTTTTCTCACGCTTATTGAGTTCAGACTCCGGAAATCTTTATATATTATTATTATTATATGTGTATCTTTTTTTTTTTTTTTATGTATTATTCGACTTAGACACTTTGGTTTTCTCATTTTTGCTTTATTTGATTGTATATGGATTATTTCTCATATTTATTTCTAGTATATTGTATCACTATCGTGCAGAAATCAACATAAAAAATTCTTCACACATTAAATTAAATGTACAGTAAATTATATTTATAAATTAGATTATTATACGTCAGAAAAAAAAAATTTTGCTGAGTATACCGAATTATATTGAAAATCTATTCTATTGATGCTTTTATAGAGTATTCTTCATGAATTGCCTGGGTTTTATTTTTTTTGATTTTTAATTGATAATCTAAAATAAAATTCAAAGCATTTCAATTCAATTTAAATCTTGATTACATCTGCATGTGATTCATGTGGCGATCGAGAAAACTAATAAAATCTAAAACGTATCGGTATGGCGAATAGATCGGCTAAGTTATAATGATATCCCGAATAATCAAGTTCGACTATTTCTTTATTTTTTTTAGATTCGATGTTTCAAAAAAAAAAAAAAAAAACCTCTTTCTTCTGTAAGTCGCATCTAATCATTAAGACTTCTGAATCATACAAATTAATTTACCGGAGTTAAGTTTAAATTCAGATACGTAACTGATTTTTGGGATGATTGCTAAGTTACGGTATGTTGAACTTGCTGTTTCTTTTTAGATGCTTAAATAAATATTAAATTTTCAATATTTTGATATTTAATAATTTTTAAGTAATAACAATTAGTTTAGGTAAACGCCACTTATCATGAAAATTTAATCAGTGTGTATATCAATGCGTAAAATTATTCAATTTCATGCCATTTAACATCTTACTATATTTCTTATTTGATATTATTTAGTGTACAGTACTAGTTCACCGGTGAATATAAAGACTTTTTTTTCAATTAAGTGGCATATAATATAAGCTATTTGAATTTATAACAATTAGTATTGTTTCATATATATTATTTAATTTTATTTTATTTGATTTATTTATTAGGTTTAATGATGTTGACTGACCCCGGCCATTCAGCCGGGTGGGCGGGTCGACCCTCGATCCGCACCTTTATGGTCGGCCCGGCTGGAATATAGTCAAAGTTTTTATCCAATATGAATTCATTGTATAGCTTATGATAATACGGACAGGATCAATTTTCTTAGATAAAATACTGTAAATTTAAAAATTTTTTTAGGACAATTACGTATTTTTATTCGATTATGAATTATTAATGTATTATATATGTAATTAGGTAGGATTAGTAAATAAATGTTCATAAAGTTGGTAAATAGATTAAAATTTAAAATTCATAATATGGGGTTGAGTCAATAGAAACCAAGCAAATTTTTTTTAATAAGTTTTTTAAAAACTTTAAACAAGGATAACTTAACAAAAACTTAATCAAATTTAATAAATTTTTTTTTAAATTAATTCTACAAGTTTGTAAAAATTATTTTAAAAAATTTTTGTTAAATTTGGTCAAGGTTTCATTAAGTTATTTTTATTTAAAGTTATAAAAAATTTTTATTATAAAATTTGCTTGATTTCTATTGACTCACCCCCATATGTACAATGAATCATTTCATTAATTTCAATTAATCGGTGGTTGTACAACATTTCGACTATAATATAGTGAGTAAGTGAATATAATGGTTGATGGGTGAATGTTGAAATAATTGATTATTATAATGGGTAAGCGAATAAATAATAGACATTAATTAATTTATTATACCATTATTATTGTTCATCATGGAAGCTGTCCCTTCCATCTGAACGAACAACTTCCGTGGCCAACAATACATATGTGCCTAACTTGTAGGACAGTATGGGATAGGGTCGCCAAACAAGCCAAAATGGGTCACGTGATCAGACTTTTCGAGTATTGTAGGTTTGCTTTCTCTCTTTTCTTTTACCTTTCTTCCTCTTTTCTTTTTCTTTTCTTTTTTTTTTTTTTTTTTGGGCGAGGTGGGATGGGATCGCTAAACACAAAGTCGAGCAGAAAAAATCAAGAACAAAGAACAATCTGATCATCAGGTTACTCGGATATACATTTCTGTCATGGACAATGTCCCGTGACCCTTGTCACAGGAAGGTCCAGTGACTCACAATAATGTACCGCCTTGTGACTTCGTTCACAAGCGGCTCATTATTATTGTTCATCATGGAAGCTGTCACTTCTATCTGAACAAACAACTTCCGTGGCCAACAATACATATGTGCCTAACTTGTAGTACAGTATGGGACTGTTGGCGAGTATCATACAAAAAGAATGATAAGCATGAAAAAACGACGCAAGTAAGCAAAAGGGAATGATAGGCAAAACCAGCTAAGCCTTTATTGCTAAGATGCCGAATGAAAACAACAAAAAACAAAAAAAAAATAAAAATTTTTTACAAATTTCTCTTTCCCCCCTCTTTTTTTTTTCGGAAGCCCAGCCTCCTTGAAGATGGCGCTGTCCCCTTCTAATTCCCTTTTTTTTTTTTTTTTCTAAAACCCCATTCGCGTGAAGGTTCTAGCTTTTGCCGTGGATACTGTTCTCAGATACAACATTACAGCCTTCGAGTCCCAACCACTGATCGCTCGGATCTGTGTCAGGCTTATTCCCACAGTTATAGCTGCTGTAGCCCCACCGATTCTCAATGAGTAGGCTGTGAATCGTCCCTTTAGGCCTACATACTCAGCAAGGCGTTTCACTATCGAACCTATCGCTAAAACCGAGACCTTCTTGCCCTGCTTTGACAGAAATATGGGGCATCGTCACCTGTTTTTGGACGTACCTTTAGGTACTGCTTCAGCAGCTTGACTGGGCAATATTTCGAACCTATTCTCTCTACTGAGATAAATCTCCCATTTCTAAACTAATCTGTTTTCGACTTACAGATTCTGATCCACAAAATTCCCTCATCATCCCATTTCATATCTTTCATTGTCAAATCACCTATTTCTCCTAGTCTTTGCATTGTTCTTAGTCCTAGGACAACTAAAGCCACATCACGGCGGTGCATGGTACTATCTGACCAGACTGGAGGCACATCCACATAGTGCCTAAGAGCTCCGACTAGTAATGGGTCACGTAGCCAGTCTGGTGTTTTGTCTTTTGTAGCTTCCTTCTTTATCGCCTTCAGGACCTGTGTAATGGCTAGTGATTTCCTAAAG